GCAACGACTGACGTAATTTGCCGTGTTATTCTTAATTCCACGTTTTTATATTTTCCATTAGGGAGGCCCTCCCATCTTCGTCCGGGCACTTCCATCGCCTTCCAGAATCAAGTGTTAATGATATGATGTGAGCCGTTTTTAGCATGAGTTTATAGCACGCTTACGCGCAGTCAGAGGCGGCGAGAACGGTCTTCGGCGAAAACGCGGAAGACCCAGGCCGCGGTCTCTATGGAGTCTGCGCGGTCTCTATGATCGCGCGGGGTCGGCTGCCGCAGCTAGCGGCTGACGGCCGCTGGCGGACCGAAAACGGCCGTGTAGCGGCAGGTGATACCTTCAAATGCGTCATCAAACTAGCAGTGTTCTCCGGGAAGACCTGGTCGGAGACTCAACCCATGCAATTTCATCGTTGGTGGTCTGAACCAGTCTGAACGAATTAGCGGTTATGACACCACGAACATTCATCACGACGATGAAATATTTACTTTTCGTGTGGGTGTAAGTGCTGATCCGATCGAAGAATCAATCTGAAATTGCGCGAGTGAAACAAACGGCCAGTAGTGCGATTTCAACGTAACGAAAATGTATACAGTGTCAGGAAGTACCATTTCCCGGTGCGTGGGAGTTTCGCCCGCCTCAGTTCGCCGCTTAGTGTTGGCAGCAGCAGCCGACGCCGCAAGGCACGTGGAGGCTGTAACGCCGGGAGTCTGTATTCTTACGATTAACGATTGCGACCGGCCGTGCTCCAGCCAATTTGTGTCATGCATGCCGTTCCGTTCTGAACAAGTATGCACGTCCCAGGTCAACCAGGATTGACCGCGCTGATGACGCGGGTAACTCTATATGATGGTATGTTGATATATGGTATGTGAAATAGCTCCGACTGAACGAGCTCGGTTAACACTATGAATGCAATACAAAAATTATGATACAGCCGGGACTAGAACAAGTGATCCCTGTAGATGACCGTTCTCTTCGTTAAACCGTCCTGAGGTGTCTGATTGTGACCCCCCTCCCCCACACAGGTGCCGCCGGAATTTGTATTCCAGACATACGAAAATAGCACCGATAGATTGAGCATTATGATGTGCTCGAATGTGAAGTGATGCCCGTGATGCCAGTCTTGGAGCATAAAGTGCACGAGCCAGAAAAAACTAACCACCACGTTTTGCATTGTTTTTTCAATGTGACGTTCTCATCCTAACGTCATTTCACACCCGGGCACCGCCTTTTTACCGACTGATTCAATCATTTTACTGAGCATGAACCACTTTGAAGAAGCGGAAATTCTGAGGTTGAAACTGCGAAACACTATCAAATTTGCTTTGGTCACATTGTGGCGCTACAGCGCGGTGAATAGCAAGGAAAACATGGGCAGCGACTATTCAAAAAATATCACGAGCATTATACAGCGGCCTTGCTAAGCCCTCATGAGTACAAGTTAGCTTCTCTGCTCGTTGGGCCATCTACCGCGCACCCCGTGAGGTAACTTGAGAGGTGAACAACAACAGGCCAGACGGAGAGTTAGGAGAGCGGTGAACGGCAACAGGCCAGACGGAGAGTTAGGAGAGTGGTGAATGACAACAGACCAGACGGAGAGTTAGGAGAACGGCGAACGACAACAGACCAGACGGAGAGTTAGGAGAGCGGTGAACGACAACAGACCAGGCGGAGAGTTAAGACGGTGGTGGACGACAGCAGACCAGACGGAGAGTTAGGAGAGTGGTGAACGACAACAGGCCAGGCGGAGAGTTAGGAGAGCGGTGAACGATAACAAACCAGACGGAGAGTTAGGAGAGCGATGACATCTGATCAAGTGTAACGGGCAAGAACGTTGGATCCGTCTGGCCCTGCTAACATTTATACATTTGTCGTAGCGCAACTTTGTGTTAGAGCTGCGGTGGTCGCTATACGCGCTTAACATAACGCCAGTTTATAGGGGTGCAGTTTATGCGTGTTGACCGGCACGGTGCGCATCAGGCGCAGCATCCACGAAACTACCTAACTGTATGGATTGGTACGGGAAGAAATGGTACCTGGCGGTACATCCGTACCAGCCCGCGTCCGGTCTTCAACGGCTTTCAGGTAGCAGCAATTCGACCAGAGATGCTTTAGAGACCGTGGAGTCGCACTGCAGGGTCTGCGGTTCACCGCTTGAGGGACTCACATGAGTCCACGACTCCGCCTTGTGTTACACTCGTGGGCCAGTAATACAGTGTCCAACTTGTATTCAGCGTCAAGGGCGGACCGTTATGACCGAAACCATTCCCCATGGTCGAATACACAGCAAGCCATGTAGGCCGCTCTTTCTCCTTACCGAACCACTGTGATGATTTTGATGACATCGAAAGCAGTGTTTTCTAAGATGAACTAAAATGGAAGAGATGGACTCGACGGCGAGTACAAAAAAGAGGTGAGCAATAGGCATCACTTCGCTTTTTGTCTGAGCTGATTGTAATTGAGCTGCGTTGAAAAAGATGCCACTGAGTATTTACGTCTTAATTAAGTCGCTAAATGCATGCGAGGAATTTCCAAAAGAAACGGAAAATTTTATAACCGTTTCCGTGTTCCACCAAGCCCGCTGAATAAGCTTAGACCATTTGTCTTACTGGAAACAGCAAATGTGTGTATATCGGGATCATAAATTGACACCGGTCCAACACGCAGCACAGATTTTGGAGGTGCATTGCAACCGATTATTTATTAGGATCACGCCAACTGGGCCATGCTGAATATCTCAAGGCCTCGAAGACCAACGCACCGAGAAACATTGTCTTCTACGTAATCCTCAAGAAAGGTGCACTGAGATGAGAGCGGGATCCACTGGACTATTCCCTTCGATATCCCAATGGCTGTTGCTAACGTCCCTAGCCGAAAGCTGAGACACCGCAGCCAGCGCGGGGAATCTCAACACAGCAGTGCCCATTAATCCAGAAAGCGACCAGCCAGTTAATCTTCCTTAGTCTCCGCAACAACGTCAAGAGACGACTGGGTGCGACTGCCATGCCCAGCTGCAGTAAAGATAAGTTACGCCGACATCAAGAACTTTAAGCTTGTACGCGGCGTCTCTCCCAAGTCTCAGCCAAGAGCTGTGAAATCTATCAAATAGGTAGAAAATACAAATGGTTAAATTTGTGCCGAGACTTGTCTGGCGAGTAGTTATATTGCTGTGGTTGGTAATGCTAATTTGCAGTTCTCAAGAGATGACCTTAGATACCCAGGGCCAAGAACGATGGCCGGCAGCTCAGCTGCGGCAACACCTGGATAAGCTAATATGTTACAAGGTTTATGTAAAAAATGCTATAAATTCTTGGAGCAAACGAAAGTGATAATTCATGAAGTCCTCGTTAACGACTTGCGCGGTGAGGTGGTGTCGGGTCACTTTTTTTGTAATGGGTTGCGCAAATGGCGTCACAGGACGCGGTTTTGTCTCAGCTGAGTCTTAATGGAGATCCATGTAAGCCTAGCACTAGGAATCCAGGGTGAGGTCACAAGTTGGAGTACTGCTATTTTCTTGAAAACGTTGCCGTATTTGAAAAGGAAAAACAATTTTTGGAACCCGGAATCATGGATATCAACTTTACTTGTTCAACAACAACGAGTCAACTCAAATCAACAATTAGTGTACGTAATTCACGAGGCATCATGTGTGCATAACCGTCTACTAGGGTCCGCATAATGTTGTGTATGCAGATAAACAATATTTGTTTTTTTACGTTCAGTGCGGTCGAAGTTCAGCCGTTATAACAGGCTCCTGAGTGACTTATAAGGCTCTTTTCTAAAAGAACGGGGGCTGCTTAAGTACCCAATAGTCCTCAAACAAAAATGGCGCCCCTCTTAATTTTCTGTGGCCCGTCCACTTCGGCAATTCTAAAGGGTTCAGAACCTCGAGACAATTATGGCCCCGAAGTTCGCCCATTTCTGACACCCTGTGCGATGACGTGCTGCAGCCCCGCTTAAGATTCGGAGGCAACGCAGGATATGTGGAGAAACGTGGCCTCAGGACCAGGAGTGTTTGGGCTTCAGGCGCTGGGTGATGTCCAAATGTGCAGCAATATCAGAGGATGGAATTTTACTTCTTGGACACGTCAACGTCTGAAGGCTGGCAATTTTTAGGATAGGAAATGATCGACATCACTCCCTGTGCTTCCGAAGAATTCGATGGTCTTAGTCTGTAATCAGATATGTCGAAATGCAAGAATGTAGTTCTTTTGAGCTTTTAGGCCGTACTGACAAGGGACTGGATAGTCTTGGTTGGGAGCATGTTGGCGTGTTTATATGTCCAAAAAGTATTGCACGCTGCAAGCAGTTTATTGTCATTGGTTTTCTCCATGGGGCGCAGGAACTAAATGGGGGAATGCGGGAGCGGTTAGGTCGCCAGATTCCTGAAAAGTTGATTAGCCCAATATGTGTTGAATGGTAGAAAAACCAGAAGTGGCTATTCCCCGCCTCAACTGAGGCACCTTTGTTGCAGCTGGATTTTTGAAATGACAGATCGTTAGAACGAACGGGAACTTACAGCCTGGCACTATCGGCGTAGGATACTTGACGCCCGTGAGGTGGATAGGAAGACCTACGTCGCTCGTGAAGAGGACTGGGTCGACCAAGGACCTCTGGGGGATGTTTTCAGACAGCGATAGGCATGACAAGCCCCTCTCACCACCTCACGCAATTCACCAAGGCGGCTCTCGATCCGAAGGCAGATGAAAGCAGCAGCGTCGTGGACAGCACCGGCCCGAACAGGACGGCACAGTATAGACAGCAAAACAGAACAGGCAGCACAGCAGAGGAGCAGACCAGGGCAGAGGACAACCGAGTAGACCAAAGCCAATTAGAGCAGGGGAAAAGCAGGGTACATCAGGGCGGAGCAGAACTACGCAGCTCGAATGTCCCCCGCCGATTGGGAGCGTAGACCACGAGCGCGCACCAGACCGCGTTATGAACCGGCGACGGTCCGGGTGGGGAGGGCCGGCCTGGCGGGCTCCACCGGCCGGACGACCCACCTGAGGATGAGGCCCAGCATGGTGCGGGGCGCCGGGTGCCGGTGTGGAGCGTACCGCGGCCGGTACTGGTGCGGCCAGCAGCCCGGCCGGCGACCGCCGTCGGAGGCGGGCGCGCGCACCGGCGCACCTGGATCCCGCCGCCCCCACCGCCCCCACCGCCCACCGGCCCACGCAGAAAGGCATGCAAGGCAGGTCTGTGGCCGCCGACAGCCAAACGGAGGCCATTCACTCGTTACTGGGTCATAAGGTCTGCCGCTTCTTTGAGAAGAAGCGCGAGAGCACTTGCGCTCTCTAGCGGGGGTTTCCCGCACACATTGCTCATGCGTCTTTCATTCTGTTGCAGTTATGACTGGGAGTGAAATGGGATCCCACCGTGCGCGTAACAGCAGAAAATGCAGAAATAGTCATACAACGAGAAATGTCGCAGCATCAGAGCGTTGCCACCTGAATGACTCGCGTTCATGTGCATTTGTAGACGTATATAAGCTGCATAGGTAAAACTGGTCTCCACTTGGTGCATACAGGTGATGCCAGTTCGCGACTGGAAAAGGACTACCTGAGTCCGTGGCCACGGGGCCATACTGTGTGCTCGTGGTACTTACTTCACGTGAATACCCGCCTGACACGTTTCACGAAAGGTCTCGTGTACACGTGATACCTTATCTTTGCCCCTGCCCAATAAGGCCTTTGCCTGATGTTATATGGATTGTTTGTGGACTGGGCAAACTGTTTTGGGGTTGGTTGCTCAACATCTAAACCACTCTTGCGTGTACGGAACTGCCACGCGACGAGGTTGGCGACCTGTCGTCGTACGCATCCCTGATAGCATGCGTATTTCCGTTAGTTTGTGCATCAATATTGTCTTGAGATTAGGTCAATCTGTGAACAGCTCGTCAACAGCATCGGCAAAGCAGAACATCACCAGCACCCTTGAGATTAGGTCAAGGAAATGGCCCTGACCTAATCTCAAGGGTGCTGGGGATGCTCTATGTTGCCGATTCTGTCGACGAGCTGTTCACAGATCATGTCTGACGACCTGTTCTGGTATGACGGCTGTCATGGCTGCGTGAATCATGCCCATTCTATGATACTTGACAAGGGTGTGTATGTCAGCCCAGTGAAGTTGCCTGAAGATGTCAATAGCGTGATCGTTCTTTTGCCAGCCACTGATCACTCGCGCACCAAAGTTCAGCAGCTGCATTCTGTGAAGTTGTGTGACGTTACGTGTCACTGATGACGATATACGAGTACAGTATCGCACAACGATAGTGAACAGAGCCTGGACAATTTTTGCATGAATCGCGTTCCGTATGACACGTTTAGCGTGGCAGACCTATGAGGCTCATGACACAAACAACTAGATTTTCACAACTCTAGAGGAGGTACAGGGTACCCAGAAAATTCAGCAAGACGGATGGCAGGGCGCTCGGCGTGGCCGGCACGTTCGGTAGAAGGGTAGCGTTCCAGTCTCCATAGGCAGCGCGGCAATGGTGGCGCAGCTAACACCGGGCGGCTACCAACGGGCGGGCAAAAACGACTACCAATCGGAAAGAAGTGTTTTCTAATGTTCTGGGAAATTGAATCATGAGTGCAGGAGGTAGCATCGGCCATATCTTTCACCTGTGTAATTTTCAAATTGATAATTGACATTTCCATATTATCATTTCCAGAACCACGAACTCTCGATGTCGGTAATAGCGGAATATTTGTAGCGTGTGCTGCTTGTCACTAGTAGTCAACATTGCGTATATGAAATATATGACCCAGCCTAGCCTTTGGAAGATTGGAATTGATTTTTGAAAGGTTTCGAAACATCATTTTTCGACAAATGGTCGTTCTGGCACCCTCGCCCTGCCTGGTGTTAGTTACAGCGGCTAACGTCGCGCGGTTCGACAGGGACTGCAAAACCCATTTGTGTTTTTGCCCCTAAAGGCTGCAAGCGCACATGGTCCGAGCTATCTTCTGCATTTTTACGACAGCCGATTCTGAAAAAAAACGCTGGCTTTCTCGGGCAAACAGATGCTGGGCCAATACAGCTTTTTAACCTGTTCCACCGAATCTCCCCCATTGGTTTGTCAACGGATTTAGTCCACTTTATTTTATACCACTATATCGCTACATTTTTTTATTTTTTGACGGGAGGAAATTTAAATTGTGAGATTGTATCATCAATCAACCGTTCTTAATTCAAGCAACATAGTAGCCCTACAGGAGCGGATCCAGAGTGTGTGCGTGGGGGGGGGGGGGGGCACTAGGGGTACGGGTCCCTTACGATCGGAAAGTAAAAGCGCTCCTCTAGAGGCCGCCCTAGGGCGCTCCTCCCTGGCAGCGCTTGTTAAGGTGCGCTCAGCACGAGGCGGGGCATGCAGGGTGTTTAATGGTCATAAAGACTCATAAAATATAAGCAGAGTAAAGTGGGGCAAGTTGAGCACGATGGTAAGTGTAGCCCCCCCCCCCCCCGTCCCCCTCCATATCCTCTTCTAAGACTCAACTGTTTCCGAGCGGCTGCCTGGTGGTTGTGGTTGAGCCTTATGGCTATACAACACTTGTTTTTTTTATCCTCCCATTCTCAAGTGTCGGAGATCAGCCATGAAGCAGAAAGTGGCGTATTTGAACGCGCTGGTAAATGGATTCACCCTCGTATCTCCCCTCCCAAGACTCCATTGCTTCCGAGCGGCCGCCCGATGGGCCGCTTGAGAAGCTCGGCCTTTCCTGTTTTGCCGCGAGCGGTGGTGGGCGGGCGATCAGCGCGCTCTGAGCATCAATATGAATTTGCAGCCATGTCTGCCCCTGAAATCTTCCTAGACTTTGCGCGGCTGAGCTTGAAAGCAAATCGTCAGCCACGCTGTTTCTTTGTCACATGGCATTGGGGTAGCTTGTTCCAACATGGCTGTGGGTAAGATGATCCACGGCTCAATTTAACCCTAATACGGGAGCGACGCGTCATAGGCTACGTTTCTGGCTCGTGCCACCGCTTTCAGTAAGCGCACGGAGGGATCATTTGTTTTAAATAACTTGGAGAGAGGGTTAGAAAAATACCCACGCTTGGCTGGGGGCATCTACAACGCTGATGAAGCGGGCGTAATCACGACGCAGACACCAAAATGATGGTGGTCAAGACAGGGTCGAGGCAGGTGGGTTCCATCACTCGGCAGAAAGAGAAGTGTTTATGCTGGTTTGTGCAGCCTACGCCGTCGAGAATTCTGTCCCACCACTTATCATTTTCCTGGAGTGAACTCAAGGACCACTTCTTTCGGGGCGCACCTGCAGGCACTGCAGGATGTGCAACGAAGGGGATAGGTTAACGAGGATATATTTCTCAAGCACCTCGACCCCTTTCAAAGACTTACTCTGTGCTCGGCAAAGCAACAATTCCCCATCGTCCTGGATAACCACGCAGCCCATATCTCACTTGGGACAAGTGAGTTCGCACGTGCCGGCGGGGTCACGATTCTCACGCTTTCGCCGCCCACATCTCGCCGCCTTCAGCCTCCGGACGTAGCGGTCTTCAGTCCGCTGAAGGTCCACTACAACAGGGCGATGACGGACTGGATGCGGCAAAATCCTGGCATGACTGTGGCCATCTGCAAAGTCCCACAGCTCGGGGATGTCGCGTGGACCAAGGGATTCGCCGGGTGCAACATTTCGTGCGCGTTCAGAGGGACTGGGATCTCCCTTTTCAACAGAGAAATCTACCCACAGTACGAACAGCCACCGGCAGATGTGATCGACAGGCCACCACAGGATGCCTCTGGCGCTGGACCAAGTGGCACCCCGCAGAGGGCAGGCGCCGCAGGTGCATGGCCAAGAAGCGCCCTGCGTGGAGGGGCATTTCCAGCGCGAGGCCATGTGGTGCCCTGCATGGAATGGGTGTCTCCGGCATAGGATCAAGCGGCGCCTTGCACGGAGCGGGAACCTCCGGCGCGGAACCATTTGGCGCCCTGCAGGCAGTGGGCGCCTCCGGCGCAGGACCAGGCAGCGCCCGTTTACGGACTGAGCTGAGATCCAATGGAACCGTGCAGGATGCACCAGTCACCTATGTTGCGGTGAAAGCTATATTACCCATACCAAGGGCTCCATCACGAAAGATTGGAACAGTTAATCGTAAGCGAGGCAGATCACTGGTACTGACATCGGCTCCCGAAAAGAAGCGACTTGCAAGAACAACAGAAAACGGGGAGCACGTCGTTACGTCGGAAAGCAAAGCCAAAAGGCGGAAAGGCGAGGCGGAGGTCAACAAAGAAGAGAATACCTTCCTCCTGCCATAATAGCGATTAAGATGAAAGTGTCCATCACATGTCATCATGTAAAGGCTAGGAACATCTGCGCATTCTTATAGATGGCGAATAGTGCCCAACTTGACACGATACGTGGAGCATATTACCCCTCGCGCGGGTAAGGTGTGCAATCGAATTTTGTCGTGAAAAATAAAAAGCTACGTTCATTATACAGAAATTTGCATACACCACTGCAGCACTAACACGTGCACAACAAATTAATGTTTCACCGTATACAGTCAAAAGATAGGATTGTAGTATAATCCTTATTCATCGGAAAAAACGAGGGGAATAGCGATATAGTCAGGTTGATATTTCAGCAACATGCCTTTCTCGCAAACAATAACAGAAGTGAATTCAAAATTGCCTGGCGATGATCCTACTCGACTTTTCAGTTTGTTTTCTGTTGGGAGGGTAAGCCAAAGTTTTTACTGGACACCAACATTCAGGGGATTAAACAAAGAGCGATTGCCAACCAATACCAAGATGCAGTGCCTATGTAAGAATTAGAATACCCCGACATACGTGCACATGCAAACGAATTCAAGCAAATAGGCATCACGCATCCCACTCTATCCAAACATGCAAACGAGCTGAAGTAAACAGGTGTCATGCATCGCTCACCGATTGTGCATGCAAGCGATTTCAATTGAACAAGCATTGTACACCATGCGACAGGCATAACTTACACATGTAAACGATTTTAAGCTAGCACATATTATGCTTAGAGGCACTTATCACGTTCGCATAATTGGCCATGATGAGCCCTGTGTGTT